TCATAATTGTATTTTTCTTCTTTGGACAATTAACCCGTCAGGAGATTTCTAGACAATGGGTTGGAGAATATAGACGATAAGGGTTTATTTGCGATATGTATTATTGTCTCTGATGATTTGAATGTCATTTTTGAAAAAGTTTGGCATTTCTTCTCGTATTTCTGTTTGTTAGTAGTTAGCCACTTTGTTTTATTTATTGCTTTATCTCTAATACGGCTAATTTATTCACTAATAATTGCCATTTCTTCTCCCATGTCTTTTACAACAGAGGTTCACATTTAAGACCCGTCTTCAACGGGTAAATCAAATGGAAGGAGTAACGAGATACAAACTTACTTACGTGGATCAACTGAAACAATATCACGCCCAGCAAGGAAGGCCCTTCGTCCGTTTACCGCAGCTGGATCGTCGGCCAATCGATTTACACAGATTAGCAAAAGCAGTGAAGGTCAGAAGCGGGCCCAAAGAGGTAATACGAGAAGGTTATTTTGGATAATATTCAACGGCATATTAATTATGTCAAGTATCCTCAAATTCCGCGAGTATTTTACAAATCTACCATGACTTTTTGTGAGATGTCGCACTAAACAACTCTTACTTTTTGTCTTTAAATAGATAACACGAAAAAAACAATGGGCAGAAGTTGCTCGGGAGATTAATGGTGGTGACTACTCTCGGAAATGCACATCAGCATCCAAAACGATAAAAGAAAAATATTTTGAAATAATAGATCCATTCGAGCAATATGTGCATAAAGCAAGAAAATTTTCTAAAAACACAGCCAAGGAAGTCACATACGAAGAACAGATGTTGCTATGCGGTGACTGCGATCAACAAATACAACGAGGAGAGCGTGGTTTGCTCTGCCATGGTGATTGTGAGCGAAAATATCATCGTCGCTGTATGGGAATAGACGATCAGACAAAGGTATCACGCCGTTGGTTATGTCCGTACTGCTTAATTAGGATGGGGCTTGAATTCGGATTTGATGAAGGAACGACGTATACGCTTCGACAATTCAAGAAAAAGGCAGACGCATTTCTCGAGCATTATCTGCAAAGCCATCCACTGCCGGAAAATGAGAGCGACTCTATGGATTTGGAAAGTCATCTGGAGCATGAGTTTTGGCGGTTAGCAGGTTCGCTAGATGAAACTGTGGAAATCGAATACGGAGCGGATACGGATTCTTATAGTTATGGAGGTGGATTTCCTGATACGGAAAGGCATCCTACAAATTTATATGCCCGTGACCCATGGAATCTACGTAATTTGGCGTACCTTCCGAATAATCTCCTTGGTGCTGTACAACCAGATATTCCAGGAATGATGGTACCGTGGCTATACGTTGGGATGACTTTCAGTGCGTTCTGCTGGCATGTTGAAGACCATTTTACATATTCAATTAATTACAATCACTGGGGTGCACCCAAGACATGGTACGGGATACCTGCATCGGAAGCCACTAAATTCGAGAACGCAGCAAAAAAACTCTTGCCAGAGCTGTTTAAGATTTCGCCAGATTTATTGTCACACCTGGTAACTATCTTGGATCCGAGGAAATTGATCGAAGAAGAAATTCCAGTTTACGTTATTGATCAGAGACCAGGCCAGTTCGTGGTAACATTTCCTCGAGCATACCACGCAGGTTTTAACCATGGCTTTAATTTGGCTGAAGCAGTAAACTTTGCATTACCCGACTGGATACCGTTCGGCGAACATGCAGTCGAGACATACAAGTTGACAAAGAGGAATCCAGTATTTGCCCATGACCAGCTGCTAATCGAATATGCACTCAGACATTACAACGAATATCATACAGCGGAATGGCTACATGATACGTTAAATCGATTAATTACAAAGGAACTCGCGCAGAGAAAACGAATTGCATCTGCTCTTAATCTGGAGATTGTTTACGAACCGTTCGATCGGCCGGACAATCTCATTCAATGCAAACAGTGTAATACGTTTAGTTATCTTTCTCAGGTGATATCAAAATGTATGCCAGCTAGTTTATGTCACGAACATGCGGACGATCATGTAAACGAAATATGTCGATGTGGGAAGAACTGCGCTTACCTGAGGATACGATACCCTGAAAATATATTGCGTAATTTGATGGAATGTACGAATACAGTTGCCGACAAAGCGGGAGAATGGATTTTATCGGTCGACAGGTACTTTGCCACTGTCAAAGATCCCGATTTGGACAAACTGAAAACATTCTGTCATGAAGCAATGGTCAACGGGTATCCCGTTGACTTGAGTAATTTAGCATCATTTATTGAGACAGCTGAGCAATGGACATTAGAGGCAGATGCGATATTTAAGCGATTGAATAAACACATATGGCATGTGGACGAGATTGTTGACGAGTTCCTACAAAAGTGGGACGAGAGAGTTGAGAAATGTATATCTGGGGTAATCTTTAATCGGTCGGTGGGTCGTAATAAGGTGTATTGCTGTTGTCGAAGTGGCGATTCAAAGTCGTTTATGATACAGTGCGACAAGTGTGACGAATGGTATCATGGAACGTGTGTAAATGCTAAAGAGGGCGATTACGAAGAGGTGGATTGGACATGTCCAGTATGTAACGGGCAGACAGCGTACGTCGGGACGGGGCAAATCAGACAGCTGGTAAATAGAGCAAAAGAGTTGATGTATACTCCTCCAACGAGTAAGGAGGTTGTTAGGATAGCAACAAAGTTATTATCATGGGTTGACGGTCTGCCGACGGCGAATAATGGAACACACTCGGTTAACGATCTTAGAAAAGCATGGGGAATGGGGATTCATCTGACTCATCTACACTCACCGATCATAAAGTCATAATGGTATAGTTTTGATGATGGCTGGAACCAATTTAGTAAATATGCTTGTAATTTGCTTGTTAAATTCATACTATTTTATTTAAAAAATAAAAAAATTCATCTAAGTTTCTTTTTCTTATTTACAACAAAATATTGTAATTAGTGAATGGTTGACCATGGCTCAACTGCATTTTTAATAACTATCAACTCCCATATCCTTTTCGATTACGTCTTTTTTTTTTTTTTTTGAGCTGTACGTTGTTTTGTTTTGTCTGAGAATTGGCCGATAACGAGCATGATGTTTGGGCAAAAAAAAAAGAAAAAAGAGCAACATTGACTAGACTGTAAATACGCAAGAAATTATTTAAACATTCTACAAAAGATAAAAACATATCCAATAAAAAGAAATTTTTGTTCAGCAAGACGAATGGTCAACCTACTTGTACTTTTACGATTACGATTATGACCCAATCTCATCGCTGGTTATTGTCTATGGCCTCAACAAAAGCTTTAAAAGTTGAAAGTTCACATCCCTCTCTCTTATCCGTGTTTACGCTAGAATCATATAACGAAATCGTAAATACAAAGACCCCGAATTGCATGCTAATTAGCAGTGCACAGTCGCTGCATGATGCCTAGTTATATTTGTTAAGGTTTTCAGCGTCAGGTCGATCCAAATGTCGAGTAGATCGTCGTTTCAAATAAAATCGGCAAGCGCGCGCGCGCGGTATGGGAGTACGGGTGGAAAAGATAATTATCGTTATACATAAGATATAGCTGAGAGGATGCTTATGATATCCGCAACAATAAGAATAACATAATAATAAGACTGTGATTTTACATCAATCATATTAATATAATTATTGTAAACACGCATAGACTCGATAGTACATAACAAACAACTCGCTAGAAAGCATCATTTATTAATAATTGATTAGCTAATATAGTTCTAAACCTAATATTTAAAGAAGTAATAACGCTACTTTATCTAAAGAGTATATACCGTAATATAATGTTTGAAACATCCAATCGAATAATGCTAAAGATAATAAATAATATTACATATGTAGTGTTCATTTCACGTGTATGATAATACAATGCCACATGATTTCTAAGCCTTTTCCCTTTACTTGACGTATTGGTTAAATGTATGGTCTAAAAAGGAAATAGCGTTTTCTATGACATAATGGGGGTTTGTTTATAGTACGGTGGACAACGTTAACTATTATTATAAAACACTGAGAACAAATTCTATGAAATTGATGACCACTAACCCATTTATTTTGAATAAGCAAATATCATACTAATAAAAATTCAAAAGTCTGTTCATATATTGTTTTACGTAAAAATAATACTTTAGACAATGAATGTTTACTACTATGATAAACTTTAGGGTGTACTCAACGATGCGTACAATAAAGTACAGTAAGTAGGAGGCATTACTCATGCCTGTAATTTGCGGAAGCAATTAATTGAGTATATTAGCCATGAACGCCTTATTCCGTATTGCAATTTCTGGCACGCATTATTTAATCTCTATTCTGACGCTATAATGTCATGGGCATGGTAACATTGAACATCATTGATTGTTCATCTTGGTTTCATCTTGGCCCCTTTTTCCATATTGTCCAATGTCCAGGATGCGTCATGCTATTGTTAGCCAAATATATTTATCGTCTAAAACTCAATAGTAATAGGGATATTTAACTTGGGTTTCTGTACAACCAATTGCAAAACGCATCCCCCTGTTTTACTTGCTCGCCGCCCATTTTTATACACACACTTTTGGGAAAGCGTGCTAAGTTCGGAAATGATCGACTACTAAAAATATCAAAGAAAGATGCTACATCAACATCTTGTGTACAACATTTGTATATCATAAATACCCCGCATATTCCTTTAACGAGCACTTTCCCCCATCAACTCAATAGACTAACTGTAAGAGCACTGGCTGCTTCGAGCGATCGTTCGTTCTTTAATTAATCCCTTCCCCCAATCTTGATCTCTCCTCATAGGCCCAAATTCTCTATACATACATTATCAATTGACTCTTATAGAGCAACGTTTTAGAGAATTTACTCTGTGAATGCAAATTGACTTTGCATTTAGTAAAAGGAGAGTGAGCATTTGTTCTACTACCCAGTACAGGACAATATTGTACAAACGTTATCATACAAGCAAACATATTCACACATGCACAAGTGCAATATCATCGTTGTTTTTGTTCTCACCTTTTGCGTCTCTTTCGACGCATTAGTCAATGCTCAACTACCTGGTGATTGGCCACCTCCGGGTGCTATTCCTTCCCCCAAACCCGAATGGTTAGATCTTGTAGATCTGAGTAAAGTGGCTGATGCTCCGGTAGCAACATCCGAGTTGGCTAACTGCAACGATGACCAGTGGTGTACGTGGCAATGTACTGGGTGCGTTGGGCCAAATGATATTGTACACTGTCCTGAGAGTGGAGGTAAGATTGTATGAAACAAATGAAGCGTAAATAGCTTGTGAAGTGATATAATAAATAATAACCCGAACGCTGTATACTCAAAAACCGTTTGATTTTTAGATTGGGGGCTTACATTTGATGATGGTCCTTCGTAAGTGTTGTTGCAAGTCGGAATTACAAGACGATAACAATCGCATGTGTGCTTACTCTGTTTTTTTTTTCCAGAGAGAATACCCCAAAGCTCTTGGATGAACTCGACTTGTTGGATACAAAAGCGACTTTTTTCGTCATTGGTTCACAGGTGGTTCAATTTCCTGATATATTGAAAAGAGCCGTAGATGCTGGTAACTTATATATAATTCATATTAGCCTGATTGTCACATAATTACCGATTTGCTTGTTCTGACCAATTACAATATCGTTATATAGGTCATGAAATTGGTCTTCATACGTGGACACACCCACATCTTACCCAACTCACCACAGAGCAAGTTATCGCAGAACTTAAATGGACCGAACTAGCAATCAAGACTGCAGTTGGCGTAACGCCCAAGATTATACGACCACCATTTGGTGATTACGATGACAGGATAAGAGACATAGCGGCTCAATTAGGATATAGAATAGTACTCTGGGATCTAGATACAGAAGACTATTTACAACAAGACAACAGCACTTTTGATCCTACAGAATTAAGCAACTTGTTTAAAGGCTGGGTTAAACTGAATACAACAAATGGACACGTTTCTTTAAACCACGATCTTTTTCTTCCAGGAATCATAGCTACTCCAGAGAGTGTTAACAACATTAAAGCAGGAGGGTTTACACTCAAACCGGTGTCAGAGTGCAATGGTCTCCCTCCATACTTGGAATCTGATCCGGTTGGAAACGCAACTACTACTGATAACAGTACCTATAATGCAGGGACCAGCACTACGTCTACATATCCGACAAGTGTAGATGCTGCAGCAACCGATATCACTGGAACTGCATCAGCGGCTGACGGACCAATTGCCACCGATCTTTCCCAGTCAAATATTTCGGCAGCAACATCAATATATTTAGTCTACGCTCGATTATTGTTATTAATAACGTTGGCAGTTAGCTCGGCAATGCTTGTGCTCTGATATATATAATTAATTGCCTGCCTGTTACTTTTGATTTTATCTACAAGTGAGTTGATTGTAAAATAGTGTGATGAGCATTTATGGATTATACATAATGTAGGTGTGCATTGATGTTGACATTGAATGTAAAAGTTGCAAGCTTATTTTATTGGGAAATGTCGATATTAAAGCTCGATGGCATTGCAATTAGTAGACAAAAATTGTGTATTTGTTACGTTTGATCTTTATGCTGTTTGTTGTTTATCTCAATAACAATTGTAAAAAAGTTCTCTGATAACACCAACCGGCTGACGCCTCTGCGATTTTTATAAAACAGCTCAAGGATGCATATTCAGCCGTGTTACATTACAAACTTGTGTATATCGATATCCTTAGTTGACTGTACGTTAATGATGCGTATCGTGGCAACTAGTCATTGTTTATAGTCGTGCCAACATGTGGACGCGCGTATTTTTATCCGTTTATTGTTACACGAAATATATGTCGCACTTGGCATGATTTCATAAGCACTTTGAAAACCTCCGAAATGTAACTTGAAATGTAACTTGTCTTGGAGGTTGGCAAACAACTGGTACCAAAACAAACCTGTAAGTCATAAATACGTGGTAATATTATATTAGATATATGGGTTTGGTTTCTGATTCGCTTATCGAATTGGTTTAAATTTGCTTTTATCTAAGTTTCGGGGGGTTAATTGTTCCTAGGTTATCGTTGATATAGAATGAATTTTGCATGAATGCTGTAGGTAAGGGAAATTATTAGGCTGGCATTTGATGTATTTGGTTGCTAGCCCTTAATAGCATATCCATGAATCGGTCAGTTATTAAGAAATGAAGGTGAAAATCTATATTTCATTTTCGCTCGTAACATAATTATTGTGACAAGCATGTGATGTGAATAATATTATTATTACATAATAATAATAAACTCTTGACCACACGAATAACTAAACACACAACACACGCACACACACGCACGCACACACACACACACACACACATATTGTATACATATAGTATATACAACTCATTAGAACGTTATGAAACCTACTTATTGTCAAATCGTTGCGTTGTTGGTGTCAGCAAAGCAAGCCAAACATTTAAAGAGGAAGCTAAAACCCGTTCTACCATATATAAGAAATCAATTGATAAGATCTTCAAGCGGCGCGCGCACGATAAAACCCAAATCATTAGTTATTAATCCTATTAAAATAAATTTGAGATTCTCAGTATATCATAATTTACGTATTCACGCGTGTTTGTCATTTCTCAGCTCCCAACTCGAGTATGCTTTTGTTATCAATTATCTCAAATTGTGTCCCGTTCTCTAACGTTTTTGCATCAGGAGAGATAGACGATTCGCCGACGGCATATCTACGCATCGCTGTTGTAACGTAAACATTGACATTTAGCACCTTAACACGTTGGTCCTCACACAATCAAGCATGTCAAATCTTATTACCTTTTCCAACAGTGGCAACATCGACATAGCTCTTACTGCCTACGAGTTTCATGAATCCAATTGCGGCGCCAACCACATATTTCTCAAATGATCCCCGATCGGTTCTCTCTTCTTCCACTTTCAAGAAGCCGGGTCTAAATATAGTCACTCTTTTAAACCCAACATCTCCTAATTCATGCTCAATCTCTCCTTTTGTTCGAGGATATAGAAACGATGAATTCTTATTGGCACCGGTGGTTGAACAGTATAGATAATGAATATCTCTGTCTTGATTTTGTTGCTTGATTATTTTCGCCGATGAAATGACGTAACCCTTGTCTATCTCAACGAAACGTGAAGCTGAGCCTGCCTGTGCTCGAGTGGTGCCCAGAGTACAAAAGACGACGCTAGGGAAGCAAATGAGTGAATTTGAAATTGAGTAAACAACAAAGAGTGTATGTGGATGATAGTAAGCGATTCGCTGATGAGTACCACAAACTTGTCATTTGCAATAATATACTTACTCATGACCCACAAAGACATCTTTAAAGTCATCAACCTTTTCAAAGTCGATTACTTTTTGTACCTGAATGATGAATAGATTAGTCATAGTCATAACATGAGTTGAATTGTTCGTGTGATCACGCTACATAAATTGACTCACCAGTATGTTTTTGTTCGGACCATCGTATTCAAATTCTCTTCTTCCCACGGTAGTAATTCTAGAAAACCCGCCGTTATGTAACAAATCTCTTACAAGCGTCTTACCAACAGCACCTATTTCCAGCAGTAGTCGGATTTCATGCTTAACAGCTCACTCACGACAAATAGTAGTATGTGGGACGCATCGCATACATGCAAGTCATTTGTCAGAGTATTACACACCTGTTCCGCCAAGTACCAACGCTGTCTTTCCAGCCATTGTGATAAAGCACTCCTTGAATTATGATTGTTCAAAAAGATGAGAAACAAACTCGCCAAAAATCTTGTGATATGGATTGCGAATCATTGTCATTTAAGGTTAGTATAACGGATAGCGATAACGATAACGATAAACATTTATTCTATATTGGTGCCACGGTTTGCTGATCGTAATGGCGGGAAGGGGCAAAAATACGGGGATATTTAAACATGTTCAGTTACGAGTTGAGTAATAAACGTACACGAATACTTGTATCATATCGAATCGATGGATGATACCGTATACTTGACAGTCTATTGGTTACACATTCTATGCATGGGATTGAAGAAAAAAAAGCTTGGTAAGGTTGTCAACAGTCCTTAGATTAGCAAACCGACTTTTGATGGCGCGCGGAAATTTTAAAACAATAAGCTTAGCTTTATTCTACATGTGATCGGGTTTATTTGGACCACGAGTCAAATCTTCATTCAAAGCTTACCAATCCAACATCGCATCTAGATTCTGGGCTCTATGTACACCGTATTTAGAGTTCGTACTACTAAATCCAAGTTTCTATGTGGTTCTGTATTGCATGTACTATGCAGGGCAGTTGAATCGTGTTACGTTTGTTTGTCGTTGTGCAATCAATGGCCCCGAGATTAGACAAACAGACAGAGAGAAAGAGAGAGAGAGAGAGTGTGTGTGTGTGTGTGTGTATGTGTGTGTATGTGTGTGTGTTGTGTGTGTTGTGTGTGTTGTGTGAATGAGAAAGAGAGTAATTTAATAAATGAAAGATATATTATAACACATCGAAATAATAAAATGATTCTTAGCAATTATAAATGTTTAAAAATTGCCAATTAATATTTGGAGCCGTTTCTTATTGGTTCTGCAGCATTTCAGTTACGAATATATTAGCCGAACCTCACCCTAAGAGTAACGGTCTCAGCTGCATATTTTGTTTGTGAACGCTGATAGCTTTCGAGTAGACAATTGGTAACGTCCCCTTCGAACATAGGCTTTCCTTACAAGTACTTGATAATGCTGTGTGCAATATATGCTAATACAATGTTGATCATTACTTTTACGAGCTTACGATAAGATTGCTATTGATGCATGTACGAGGTTATATCATAGTGGTTTGTATTATATTGTCATAATGTGCCTATTGGGCGAAACTTTATTTATTATCTTCAAATGTCAAATGTTTCCACAATGTGCAGGTACAGCCAATACCAGTAAAGAATATGCTAATATGTATTCATTTTTTGCTCTGGTCGTTTGCAGGTTAGTAAAACTGAATTAACGATAACGTCTGCATTGTCATACAAACAGAACCAGCGAATATTTCTACGTTAAATATATTTTATATATAATCTCGTTTCTCTTTTCTCTGGTATATTTATCTTTCCTCCCGTTATGCATTGCGGGTACGCAAACAAAGCTTTCGTTGAATTGGCTTAGAATTATATTCTCTTTCATTCTTTTTACCATATCCTCGGAATCAATTATCAATCAAATCCTTTTCTTCCGCCTAAATCTGTTTCTAATTGGAGATGGCCGATAAACCTCCGCTGGTGACAATATCCACGGAACAGAGCCGAGCTATATTCAGTATAGTTGTGCCATTAAACATTATATCAATATGTTTCTGTTTAATAGCCGTGAGCGTGTATTTTCTCATCAGACACCAATACAGTTCACTGGCAGATAGAGTGTCATTCAGGCTGAGTACTGCTATTACCATATCAGACATTATGTACTCAATATTTCAGATAACGAGTTTGATGGCTACTACTCCAGGTCCACTTTGTTCGTTTACGGTACGTCTAATATTAAAAGTAGATCTAACGCATGTTCATATTTACAATTCATATATAACCCAAATTTTTTACCGTAGGTATGGGGATGGGTGTTCTCTAGTCTACTGTCGATATTCCTTACCAATTGCATTGCCATCGTAAGTATTTGGTGGACTTTTTGCATATTGATCTTCTTGTCTCGTACTCACTCCCCTTACATTTCATAGAATCTACTAGCTGTGTTCGTACATGAGTATAGAGGAAGACATAATTTGGAAAGATATTACTTGCCGTGTTCTTTTCTTTTGGCACTTGTACTGTCTTTGCTACCAGTTTCAAATAATATGTATGGGTGGGACGAGCCAGAATCGTAAGTACTTTATCTGTTCGTTCACGTGACAATATAATTCTACTAACTAACACAATTTACTTTATAGTGTATGCTGGTATCGTGGCTCAGGTAGAAAGCGCAATATCATTTGGCAATGGTCAACTCTCTTTGCATGGCAACTACTCTCAGTTTTGTATTGTCTGTTTGTCGTCATTGCTGTCATGGTTAAGTTAAAAGATACCAAAGACGCGTTGGCGAACAATTCGCAAAAAGCTTCCCAGACCAACCCATCGGGCAATAAACTAAGTTTGGCAATGAAGCAAAAGAATTTAATTTTAGTAGTAGTGAGAAAAGTCATGTGCTATCCACTTGTGCCAATTATTACACAAACACCAAACTTCCTAATAGAGACGTTGGCATATACCAGCCGAAAAGTTAACTACGAATTGCTTATGATGACTTACATATGTTCAAGTATACAAGGTATGTACAAAAAAGCATTATCACCAATGCGCGCCTGTTAGTTAGAGAGTTTTTGGAAGTAATCGATTGACAACATTATATAGGTATACTGGATGCGCTTGTATTTTCTCAGGATGTTGCAGTGGCAAAAAGTCTTAATAACCTTAGTATCTATCTTTGGAAAAAATACATAAACCCATACGAAGAACTATATCCACACAAGTCACACAATAAGGCGGTCGTATTGAGACGCAAAAGCGTATTCGAATCGAAACCACCGGTTACATCTGAATCGTATACAAAATCAAGCTCATCGATCATCGAAGTAAGAGAGAACCCCAGCTTTTGGGAACGGATGAGATACAATCTGATTATCAAAATTTTCATGGAGCCAAACAACGAAGCGGCCGAGATAGGATGCGAAAAAAGTCCCAAGACATCACAACATGAAATGCAAGCTCTTCAACAAGACAGATGTGAGACACTCGACACAGAATGTAGCAACGATATAACAGGGGACAATCACTTGCAGAACGAACCGTCGATATCATCTTTGAAATCTCCCTCAACTATAAGTTATATTGGTGACATATCCAACGAGAAAACCGTATCTCAACTACATCCGCAATCCGCACTATCGCATCCTCAATTCGAGTATGCTGGTCTACATCGGCGCTCAGCTTCAACTCCTTGGGACTCTATTGGAAATGAAAATCCAATGCCATTGTCCGTAGTAGAAAACTTTGCTCATAAAGCATCGCAATCACTACATATCTGGGTACATAGTGATAGTGATGTAACTTCGGTTGAATCGAGCACAAATAATGAGAGAGAACAAAGAGAACTCGAGCTTATTGTAAAGAAACTGTAATATACGGTTTAGTAGTGTTCATGCTTATCTGTAACATAAATCTGTATAGGATTATTACTAATGATTATTCTAATGTATATTGAGCAAAAACTGAATAGAATGCTTCTAAGTATTACAATTACGCACTCATTTGTATTTCAATACTATATATAACAATATCTTGCACAGCAAATATGATTACCAATATTAAAAAATTATATCATGGCTCAATTGAGATATGCTACTACAAGTTTGCGATGTTATAACCTTGCAGACAAACGATTTCATTTAAAATGACAAATCCAAGACAAGCGCCTTTGTTCCTACAGAAAATAATAAAGCGTGGGGTATAATAAAGTGTGGGGAGAATAAAACGCTCATAAAACTTATCTTTTTTGACATAAGAACACATAAACGAGCTGCTTGGGTTTTTTGCCCTTGCAGCAATTATTCTCCTTCGCGAGTTGTGATGATATACGGAATACAATAGACGTTGCCAGTGCAATGCTTAGCGCAGGATTGTTTGGAGAAATACGTCACCATTATGACGCATGATATTAATGTGACCGCAAAGCTTAAATTTTTTTTTTTGCTAATCAAAAAATGTCTTCACTATTACTCTTTCAGAGATTGTCTGCTAAAACGACGAACGCTATAAACAAAAATTGCTTATTTTCAAGTACAAAGATAGCAACTCCCAATGTTGGCCATATAACCGGATCAAGACAACTTTAAACTAGATATCAACCCTCACCCGATGACTGTAGGACACGGAAATACAGTATCTCCAAAAGGCACAACAGTCTCTGAGAAAATCTGCAGCAGTTGACATTGCATGCCGCCTGATGCAATGGTGTTATTAACTGATTTTTCAGTGTTCCAGTCTCATTTACAGAAAATAATATTACTGGTTCTCCCTAAATGCAGGCTTTTTTTAAGCATATCGTTCCCAACAACCTGCACTCCTAAATCAAAATTAGTATTAGGCTTAGTGGTTTGAGAAATTTTCTCACAGACGTTATATTATCTATTAGTATTACTATTGACAGACGGGGTCCGGTTCATTTGCCCGATCTACGATAAGGCATTATTAATAACTGTCAGGCAATGACTGTCGGGCAAATAACCGTCGGGCAAATGAACGCCATCCTTAAAATTGTTATAATGATTACAAGACTTGAGTTTAATAATAGTCAGTTAGCAAATAGGCACAATTTGAAACTTGGAGCAATTTTGATTATAACAAGTCGATTTATTTGACTATCACATATAATAAAGATTTTCAATTCTTTCTTTCTTTTTTCTTTTCGCTATTGTAATCTTCATTATCCATATTCATTATTTAAATAATGATATAATAATAATCATTATCTTCTATTAATAATGATTAGTTAAATACATTATAATAAATACAAATAAACGATAGTAACAGGTGGATAAACAATCGAAAAACATTGCTTGTACACCGGCGTGCCAAGCAGCAAACTCACCTTCCATCTCTACCAGCAATCCTCACAAGCAGCTAAGCAATCACCGAATCGGACCCTCAAACTCGCTCCACTCTACCAAGTGTTCCATTGGATCTGTTCACAGCAAACCGCCAGTGTAGAGAAAAAGGGGAGAGAAAGAAAAAGAAAAAGAAAAAGTTGTTAGTTTATAACGTAAAGCAAATGCGATACTTACCTTATACTTACCCAAAACCTTCTACCCGTCATCTAAAAGCTGTGTAAAAAAAAGAAGAAGGGAGATGTCGTGATAGTGTTCCGGGCATCCCCCGTGACCCACTTATCAGAGGACCCGTGCCAGATCCCTTCACGCAGGCGATCCAGATCTTCCCGTCCACCAGTCGAAACAAAAGAGAGCAGCCACCTAGTTAACCAGTTAAAAGCAATGATCTGTTAGTGAACGATTATTTATCCACAAATTTACCTACAGTCCTACCTCGTTATATCCCCACTTTGGGACGGGGCTTTTTCGGGGATATATCCGAGGTGGGGATACAACTGAGGTATATATGTGTATGCAACGTTATTTAAAGCATGAAAGTTTATTGGTTAATAAATTCTGTTAATAAAGTTTTGGCGTTTTGGCTTCTTTATCTAAGCGAATTATATTACGTATATAACTTATATCACTTTCTGTTGTAAACTCGTTTGCCAATTTTTCATTGCTTAGTTTTACATCAGTTTCTTTTCTCTTAATAATGTTTACTTTATCCTCGAGTGATAAATCCCTCCTTTGCTTTCTTTGTCTATCTGTGTTACTGGTATATTTGCAGAACTAGCCATCTTAAAGTGCAGAGGATTCATAAATTACTGATGAAATAATAGTAATAACTGTGTAGTTAATAGATCTGACGGTTGATTTAATAGACCTTGCAAAGATGCTCTCTCTTATACGTTATTTTACGGCCCGATTTATGTGGCCCGATTTATGTGGCCCGATTTATGTGGCCCGATTTATTTGCACTTGATTTGTGGCCTGAATTTGTTAAAAGTGGCATGATTTTCAATTGGTAATGTGAAATGCGATAAATGATTGACAAACCTGACACAGATTATATAAATAGAAATGGCATGATATTTTGTGTAATACAAAGGGGAGGTATGATCATAATGGCATGGGAAATCGGGACCATAGAATTTTGGGGATAGGGATATATCTGAGTGGGATACAAATGAGGTAGATTTATACTGATATACAATAAGGGAAATCCTTCCAGCTGAAAAGCTGGGATTAGCTGAGGTTGGGATACAATAGGGGGGGATACAAATGAGGTGGGACTGTATATCCAAATTACATCTATCGTCGTTCCTCTCTCAAAGCCAACTCTTTTACCGCATTAACATTCTATTCTGTGCGGTACACGTTAATAACGATAAAGCATGTTTTGTGTCGGGGCAAAATATTTGCTCTTCTGTGACCTCTTCTGTCGGTTAGCTATGTGATCGGTAAACCGAGTCGTCGGTTAAAGATTTGTTCGAGAGTTGTAGTGAACTGTCGTATGTGCGTGGTATAGAGTGGCGGAAGGAATTTGTTGGTTATATATATTCAACTTTTAGATAACGGAGTGGCGGCAAATGTTTGTTGCGTTGTAAATTTAAGAGCTCGTTGTGAAGCAATGCATGTACAATGGAGAATAGTGTTTGGATATATGTGTGTTTATATGAATAAACGCGTGTTCGAACTTTTTTATGTGGTCGACAAACCGTACCGTTGTTTAAAAACTTGTTCGTGAGTTGTAGCGAACTGTCGTATATGCGTAATATGGAGTGGCGGCAAATATTTATTGCGTTGTATATTTAGCTTTGAATAACGTTGTATTTGCGCTTTGGAGGAGAGCTCGTTGTGAAGCAATGCATGTGCAATGGAGAGTAGTGTTTGGATATATATGAGTAAACGCGTGTTCGAACTCTTTTGTCGGCTATGTGGTCGACAAACCGTGCCGTTTTTTAAAAACTTGTTCGTGGGTTGTAGCGAACTGTTGTATTTGTGCTTTGGAGGAGAAGAAGTTGTTGTGAAGCAATGAAGAGTAGCGATATAGTATCGGTTATGCCGGTCGTTGTTTAAAAGCTTGTTCGTGAGTTGTAGCAAAGTGTCGTATGTGCGTTTTGGAAAAGGAGAGGTTGCTGTGAGTTGAGGCAATAAATGTGCAATGGAGGAAAGAGTCTAGGTATATATATGTGTATTAGTAGACGCGTGTTTGAGTGTTAGATGGGAAGATGACACATATTGGTACTACTTGATATTATCAATTGCTGTCGTACGCAACCTTATAAGTATAAATGTCGTTATATATGCAGTAAGGAGTATGAGAATCTGCACTGTCAACCAATAATCGAGCATCCACAGGTATCGATATATTGCCTAGTGGAACACATCATATCGCAAGTACAAATATTTTTCACTGGTTAACGAGTCCGATAAGTCACGCGTATAATTAAATTGTTATCTGCGCAGTAAGGAGTGTGAGAGTTAGCCACAACAATCACGATCAATCAATAGTAAAGCATCCACGGGTATCGACCGTAATAAGAACAATAGTATCAGTGTAGCATTTCGGAACACACGCGGTAAAATGGTTTTCACTGATCTCTACGATAGTGATAATATCGATAGCATATAGAATAAATTTAAATAAGTTTTTTTACGTACTATATTTATAATGGTGTTGTATTCAGATGTCCGAACGACAGCCAACCAAATTTATAGATCGCGTCCACCATTTAAGTACTGCTGTCAATAACTACCGTATTTTCTTGACTAAGTATCCCGAGAAAAGTACCCTTCAGTAATTTTGAGGCCTGATTTTGTAAAAGACCCGGGTACTATTTTCGAAAAATTAACATTATCAAGTAAAATACCCAAGTATTATAAACGAATAATCCCATTGTAATAGTAAAATTATCCATCTAGCAGTATATATACATGTTCCCTCTCCCCATTAAAGTACCCCCTGATGAAGTACTCCAGGGTAAGAAAATACGGTAATATTAGCGAAGAATGTCTACAAAAATTAAAAGAACTACATTAACAACAAACAAAAATTGCTTGTTCTCAAGTACAAAGACAGTAATCCCAATGCTACCCATGTAAATATTGCTCAATGGGTTAAGGCGACCTTTATCCTAGATATCCATTGGACGTTTACTGAAGCGAAATGATTAAGCGCTGTCCAATATCCTGATCTTGAAAATGCAATGTACGAATGGGTCATTAACCGATGCGATCTTAAAGAGAAGGCAAAACAATTTGCAAAGTTGTTGAATATATCCAAGACAAATTTAAGTTTTAGGGCATATTTTGCCCTTATTGTTATCTTGCTGAGGAGACATGTTTTGTGCGAACGCGACTGGTTGGTTATCAAAGTTCAAGAAAAGATACGGAATTACAAAAGTAAAACGGGCATGGAGAAAGTACCTCAGCAGATCATACAGCTGCAGTAGATACTGCTATTACTGAATTTAGAGAACTATTAATGCAATATAATCTGCAAGACATATATAATGTGGATGAGACGGGACTGTTTTACAGATACAGTAAAGTGCAACGATTATTGCCAATTGTTAATAGTATTTTGCATCTTCTTAATTGATTAATAGGCTTGAACCAGACACGATACTAGCAACAACCCGCTTAAGTGGTAGAAAAAAAAGTAAAGAGCGATTGGCAGTTGCACTGTGTGCAAATGCTAATGGAACAGACAAACTCAAGCCGCCGGTAATTGGTAAGTATTTGAACCCACGATGCTTTAAACATATTAACCGCAATAACCACGAAGGCATGGAAGACAGGGCGTGTGTTTGAACAGGGGTAAGAGCGTTCGATCAGCGAATGACTGGACGCAAAGAGTCATTCTTTTGATAGATAATGCAACAAAACAACCTGGATAATATTCTTTGTAAACCCATGGTCAAATTTACATATTTTTTTAACACCTAATTAAGCTGTTCTGATCAATTCTGAATCTTGAATCAACATACTCGATTGTAATCACTTCATAATTTATTTATGAATAGCAAATATGAATGACACAAAAAAATTAATGTTTCTGATTAGTTGACGCTTTTATAAACCAGCGGTTACTTACCACGTGGATGATATTGTCAGACTTGGCATACCAGCCTCTGACAAGTAAAGATTAAGGAGAAGATTCCTACCATGCTCGGTAGTGGAATTTTCAAATGGTGAATGGTATCGATTAGGTTGTAGTCAGGGAATACTAGATACTCATTATCAGGCAGCTGATTAGAAAGGGTTTCGTCGACAATCATTTCACCGACAAATCTTAACCAACATTATTTCGAAGTTATCCTTTTTTAGTCAGTGAAATGTACTGTCGGTGAAATAATTGTCGATGACTTATTATCTGGTTATACATTATAAATATAGTATGGCCGGCATGTTCTTTGGACAATATGGGGTAAAAGCACATGTTAGATAGCTTATATTACTGAACGTGAGAATGTACTAGGTTTGTGTCCTACTACAATGACCTCCATAAATGCACATCCTTGGGATGGAGGAAAGCGTGCATTTACAGAAGGTGTGCATTTGGAGAGGAAAGAACTGGTTAATTTTATGTCATTAGCATTATTAGTCATGGAACATGCCTAATTTAGCGATATATAATGAGTTTCCCATGGGAAGAATCCAGTGAAGACCCTAAACAATACAGACTTTGTAAACTGGATACAGATAGACTTCAGGACCATAACGTCGGTCAGTCTAAAGTTCAGTGCATTGATATTAAAAACACTGCACACTGTCATGTATAATAGCTCTATAAGTTATAGTGAAGAAGGAGTTTGTATGATCAAGAATCGCAGATGGGTGGGTTATCTTTGCACTATCAGAGGTCGGTGCGGATTTCATTCAAACTATCATTAAAGGCACGACAACGACAATTATACCCTCTGGTGGAATCACGAAATATTCGATATCGACTGTACTTATTTTAAAAATATAAGTGTTACCTCGAGTAAATATCAAATGACGATGTGGAGATGGTAGACGTGACGGATTATATTATGGATACGGAGATTGTAATTCGTGATAAAGGAGCAGAAGACGGAAATCCAGAGAACCGCGTTCCAACAAATAAGAAGAAGGGAGATGATATCCTAGTGGCCGAGTTAGATAAGAAGAGTAAAGTGTATGACTGATGCGCATAATCCGGCCACTTGTTCTAGTGAATGTACGTGGGGTGGTTGAAAAGTTTTGATCGTGGACATTTATCTCAACAACTGCCCAACATATTTAAAAACAGAGACTATAATTGCAAGCCTGAGGTTCCAATGGACAGCTGAAAAATAAGTTGGCATGAATTGATCCGGTAATTGTCGGGTTATGTACATCTGTGCGACGGTACCATAAAACAATTGGAAAATAACCATGGTTAGAAAGAATGGTTCGTCATAGAAATTAGGAATGACATTGTATGCCTCACCACCAATATGTATATGGTTTATCCTTTATTTGACCACTCTATCTAATAAAATGTTTTAGGCTTTCAATAGTCTATTAAATTTTGAAACAGCTTTATTCAAATATTCTTATCGAATTGGAGAAATATAAAATAGTACCGATGGATAAGTGGCTAGTTATGATAATCAACGAATTACTGCTATTATTAAAGTACACGCATTAGTTAATGGTCAAGTGAAAAGCGTCAGGTAAAGATGTTGATAGTCCTGATGTAAAACATCTCAAGTTTCCAGAATTTGAGCTTGCCAACATTGAGTTACTGTATGCAATAATTATTGAAAAAGCTAAACATTGCTGAAAGATCTCTAGATAAAATAGAATCTGTTTAAGATAACTCAACGGTGAAACCATCAAAATATTATTATTAGGAATCGTTCGTTGTTGCAAGAAAAACTGTCGACTTATTCTTTAGAAGAATAGACAAACCGACTTTTTACAAGTTGGAAGCGAGTGAAATATTAGCAACGTCCCGTCTTTTAGGAAAAAACAAAAACAGAGAATGTCCTTCTATTGTTGTTTGTACGAATGCCGATGTTTCTCACAAGCTCAATCTTGGAAATACGCAAATCAAGCACGCAAATCAAGCTCGCAAATCAAGCACGCAAATCTTGACATTACTTGTCGCAATAATAGAAACGCTGGAATTCTAGCAAACATGTTTCAAGATTGGTTGCGTCATTCCAATACTAGTGTCTCTAGAATATATTGTGTCTTACTTTTTAGACAACTGACCAAGTCACGTTACCAAGAATTAATACTGAGATACTTCTTTTACAGCCAAACATACGGCCATAGATGCTGGCATTATTGTGTCGATATCATGGATGCTAGAACGAGTCGAGAATGGAAAGAATGCTAGCGACCTAATAGAAACCGTTTTACGAGCAATACGGTGGCTTGGAAGAAAAAGTTATTTCTATTTGCTGGAAAACTACAAAATCCTCCTAATAACGCTAGTAGTGGTGACGAAGGTCAAGAACCGAATGATAACTTACTTGCCGAATAATATTCCAAGGCTTTGAATTGGGACAAAGTTGTCTAAGTTATGAGAATGTGGGAGAACAATTCCATAGATCATTATAGACCTGACTGTAGTTTCATTTCTCCTTCAATACACATAGTAACTAAACCTGACAATATTGTTAACGCTAAAGTTCAGAACTCAGTCGACTCAGTCCAGAACTGACAGGTCCCGAACTGAAATACCAACAGATATGAAAAGTGTAACGAAAAGACTGGATGGTTTAATGAAATCTTTACATGAACAATAGTCACTAAGCGTATTTTCTATGATTCGACGACTTTATACCACATGATAAGGATGTCTCACAGACGATCGATAAAATGAAAGGAGTGATTTATTCTTTAAACTTTGCAACAATGAATATCGTAGTTGATTTGTCCTCAGGCCTTTTATCAGATTATGAGAAGCTTTACAAAAGCGGCAAATATGCGGATATTTCAATTCATGTTGGAAAGGAGCCACATAACAAGATATTTCTCGCTCATACACTAGTATTGTGTACACGAAGCCCATTCCTTGATAATAGCTTAACCGGGAATGCAGAGACGTCTAAAGAGATTCAAAGGGCTGCTATGACATTGGAAGATGTGTCACCTGATATTTTCGAAATTTTGCTTAGGTAATAGTAAGCCTCATATATCAAAGCCATACGAATACATGTACTGCACTGCAACTTAAATATAAATTGCTTTGTAGGTTTATCTATACTGGGAAAATTTTCTATGATTCATGCAAATGTGTAGATTGGATTAGGCTTCTGGATGGAGCTAGCAAGTTTGAACTACTTGATCTTCTCATTGCAATTGAAGCTTATTTGGTTGAGAAACAGAAAAAATGGATTGAACAGAATATTATCACAGTTCACAAGTATGCTCTTTCTACTATTACTGCTCCTTTGAACGGGCTTCTGGGTTATTGTAATCGGATTATGGTTTCACACCCAGATATTGTATTTAAATCAAATGATTTTGCAACTTTACCAAAGGAGACTTTGATCAATCTTCTCAAGAGTGATGAACTTAGCATGGAAGAAGATGATATTTGGATGTCAGTTGTGCAATGGGCCACTAAACAAGTGCCTGAACTAGAACTTGGAAA